TTTAAAATTTTTTCCAATACCTGAGTACAACTAAAATGTATAATATATGTAAATAACTGTAGTCGTAAAAGACTTTATTGTTGTCGCGACTATAAATAAACTTATAAATAAAAAAATAAAAAAAATTTTTTGGATCAAAATACGTATTTCTTAAAGAAAGAGAATTAATTTTTTTGGAATAAGTGAAATTTTTTGTGTCAAAAAAAATTTTTTTTCACTCAGCAAGAAAATAATTAGGAAGAAAAATATTTTCTTTGCTCAAATAAACCTTTTTTCTGTGTGCATAAAATTGAGGAAAAAAAACGGCCCTCCTTATATTATACAAAATTGCTATAACAAAAAAAATAATGTAAATAAAATTACAAACAATGTTTGCAAATATAAGATGATTTCATCGTAATTTAGCAAAAAATTTTGTAAAATTACCACACACATTATAAACAATAATAATTGTGGGTGAAATTAAAATTCTTGATATAATTTTACAATAGAAGTTTGAATATTACAAAGAAAGTTACTAAATTTTCAATGACTCCATTGTAATTTCTATTACAACTTCGTTTTGTGGTTTTACAAAAATTTCTAGTAAACCATATTACAAAAAATGTTTGTAAATCTCAAAGTTTTTTATTGAAATTCGACGAACAGTTCCGTAAAATTATAATACGATTAGGATTTTTACATGAAAATCGTAAAATTACAATACATCCTACTAATTTCCTGACATCTTTTGAAAAATTACTAAAATTGTTTCATAACTTCACATTAGTAAACATCGATTTGTAATTTTACCCTACCTTTGTTTTGTAAAATGATTGTAATTTTACAAATATTTTTAACAGTGATACCGTTACAACTTCCTTAATTACTATGGTACAGGGGAGAAGGTCGTAACGGGCGTTTTTATTCCCGCTGTTCAATAGCAGCCTTAATTTATCAATTAGATGTTAACTACAATTACCATGAGATTATTATTAAAGATATTAAATTTAGGGCGCCACCAGGTTGTTACAACGGTGTCCTGGAAACCGTAAGAGACATGAGAGATAATCAACAGGGTAGAGAGAATTAGGAAATTATCTGGAAATAAATAAAATTAATAATTTGCGGTTACCAATTATTTATTTTACAAAATCACACTCACACGTACACTATAAATTCCATTGCCGGATTTCCATAGAATAATTCCTTAATTAATACGCGTAAGATAGAGGGGAAACCGTATCATAATTCACGGGTACGAGGACCACGTGACCTCCAATATAATTTACCAGTATTCCGAATTACCACTAACCAATTTTGTAATAAACTTCTGATATAGAGGGAAAATCGTACCATGTATCAGAAGCTATTCATTCACGATCTCACTCTCTATCACTCATAACCCAACCAAAACTTATTGAAATTAACTATAAATTATCTAACTGAATTAACAAAATCATCCAGTGACTATTTTCAACACAATATAATATATAACGCCAGTAAACGTGACCTTGTAATTTTTAGACGCGCAGTTAAAACTTACTGCGTAGTAACAAAACTTATACACCACTTTCTTATAAAATTTTCCAGTTAACGACCAATAAATTAAATTTAATTAATCGAATATTATCAATACTTAATTTTACTCAACCGGAAATTATCAGTAATTAATTAAATTGATTTATAACACTGACTATAAAATGGCGCGTAATTATCTTAACACCAAAATCCGTCTCAAGGTTAACTAATATATTTCCGGGTGTCGGACCACAGAATTTTCTAGCAATTTTATTTAACCAATAATTAATTTAATTTATAAAACCCAATAATTATTTTAATTTAATAAAACCCAATTAAAATAATTAAACCTCGTCCAGAAGAGTAAATAAGACCAGGTGCTAACCACAGTCGAATTTTGCCCACGAGACTTGACAAAGTACCTTACAATGGACGAGCTGCTTCCCGCCAACTTCCAGCCACGGCTTTGTTCTCTTGCCGCCTCGTCGTTGCTCGTACTCTCGGGGATTTTGTACTCCTTATTACCGCAACAATTATTCCTAGACGTACCAATTGGATTAGTATAATGTTAATTATTAATTAGGAACAATTAATAAATATTAAGCATCGCTTGCGTTCCAATTAAGTGAACGTGCGACTAGATATTTACCTGAGTTTTCCAAGTGCGTCCGGAACGTTCGGTAGTACAACCTCTTCTGTCTTGTCCACCGGCCGCTGCTTCACTCGAGCTCGCTCCGGCCCGTTGCCCCACTCCCTACTACCTAAAATGTCCGAGACCATCGCGCACTGGTGTCGCGTCGATAATTTACCGAACTCGCAACGGTTCAAACTAACTACCAGTGGTAACAAAGTACCCTGTTACACTCCCCCCGTCCAGACACACACCAGGGCGGGCTGATCTCGATCATCCTCTTGGACAGGTCTCTAAGAGAAAAGTCGGATGTACCCAAAATTATTATTTATTGAACCCAAAACTACAAGTCTTCATCATAGTTAATTTCCAAGACATCATCATCATCAGTCTTGTCCTGGTCATCATAAGGGTCCAGCTCCATACCAGAGTCTTCCGAAATTGGCTCACCGGAACCGACAAATTCCGCATTGCCCCAATCCATGCCACGTACTCCATCCTTCCTCTTCTTCTTCTTCTTCTTGCTCCTTTTCACAGGAGGAGCATTCTCAAAAGGTGGAGGCTCAGACCATTCAACCCGGGGAATTCCTTGGCCCCCACGAGATGTTTTGGAGCGAACAGCTGTGGCCAAACTCGCTCGATATTCAGCGAACGCTGGGAGCTGAAACGATGTGGGTTTTAGAAATCAGTTTAATTAAATTGATTGATAATTGATTTACTTAATTAATAATTAAACTGAACAATAGATACTTAATTAGATTACTCTCCAGGGTTCGTTTCACGTGTGAGTTTTGCCGGCTGGCGAGACTCGGGTAATAAATGGATCTAATTATAAATACCTTGAACTAATGCCTTACCAATAGCTAGATTACCAACACCAATAATTGATATTTGACTTAATTGAAGTTCGAGAAGATGGTCAGCTTCCTGAATTGGACTGGAATATGGCCTTGATACACGTTGTAATGAAATCAACCTCAACCTTAGCCTAGAATCGGATGATGTGGTCGAAGAATAATGTAATTAACTTGATCTTCGTTTAATAACTGATTTATTCAAATTAAACAATGAATATTATATCACCACTTGTTGCTCAACTTAGCAAACATTCACTCCTCAACGCGTAGTAAATCAGTATAATTTATCCTAAACTAAATTAACTGATATAGTTTTACTCAGACTGTTCAGATTATCAGTTAAGTGAAACTAGGATTATTTACTACAAAATAACCAAAACGTGGTTATTTATCACAAAATAACAAAAACGGATTATTTATCACGAAATAACCAAAACGGATTATTTATCACGAAATAACCAAAACGGTGTTATTTATTAAAAAATAACTAAACTGACTCGCTGCCTACTCAATTTACTGGTTATCCATCCAAGAGGAGTTAAAGATACTCATAATTTAATTATGCAACAAGAGTGCGACAGTATAATAAACTGATAATTATTAATTATGATGGCAAACTTTTGTAACTTGAGCTAAAGCACAATAGGCTTCTGGCAGGATACAGGCGGCAAGAGGCCTCTATCTTAGAATAATAATCTAACGAGCTATACGAGCTAGAACGAACTACAACAGCATGGTTACTCTCGCTTATATAGCTTTAGCGGCCATGCTGTTATTCTATCCGACTACGCTCGAGGCTACCCGAGCCTGAACGATGGCAAACATCGTTACAGAGCATAGGTCCTGGACCGACCAGATAATTAGCAGCATCTTCAGAAGCCGAGCCAGATGGAAAAGCAGGTACAGGGGGGGACCTTATCTAAGCGCAACAGGTCTAGCCTCTGATGTCTTAGAATTCGTAGCAACAGCACCAGCTGTCGAGGCTGCCCAACTTCCTGAGGTAACTGTAGAAGTGGGCTCACGTGGTTCTTAAACACCACCGAGCGGATCTGATGTTCCTTCTGTACCGAGACCACTACTGACGCCAACCTGGTTCGAGGTATAGCTCCTTTAGATGCTTCCTGATTAACCTCCTGGTTAATCTCTGGCAAAGGCTTCGTAACAACCTTATTCTGCCCCGAGTCCTCTCCCAATTGACCTTGGCACAGTCTTTTAGGAGCAGAGGATTCTGCTGACGATGGTTTTAATGGCGAAGTCGCCTTCGCTGGCATAGCTGGAAGAGAAACCTTAGGTTGAGAAGTTGAAATCTGGGTTGACGCTTCACTAGATTTGGGAAGTGTCTCCGACCCCACTTCCTGGCATCCTGAATTAGCACCAAACACCATAGGCCTCAAATGCGTCGGCCTACCATAAAGGTCCCTTTCTTCTCGGGTAGCTGCCTTAAGCCACAACTCCCACAATGTAGACTCCTTAGTCTCCGGGTTCTCTAGAGCCTTATTTAAACTGAGACGACGTCTCGCCATCCTTGACTGATTCGGAGTCAGGCCGTGCCATTTTGATTTCTTGGAGAGACAATTCTGAACAGTCTTGCGACTGTTATCTCCATTTCGCCCGAATGACGAAGGTCTGGCAAAGCCAGCTGAAGCAACCTCTATCGAGGGAACCATCTCAACCGCTGTCGGATAAGGCCTTTATTGAGCGACAACTCCCACTGGGTTAATAACCGAGGGGTTCTCCGTTGTCATAGCTGAAGGTCTAAGTGTTGGTGGTGGGCCAAGACGTGTAAGAGCTGACTCTCGAGCTGTCGAGTTTTGCTCAACTCGGTCTTCCGCCTGAAGACTACACTGAACAGCTACCGAAGACGTATTCGTAGCCTCTCCGCCAACGTTTATCCCTGCCACCACATCATCATCCGGGCGCGTACCGCGGACGTAAAATTCCACCCTTCTCCTCTTCATAACTCTGTAAACAAAACTAATTAGTATTGAGTTCAACAAGTAACATCCTTATTACTAAAATTTCCTATTAACTACGCGGCGACTACGCCTAGGAATTTTTAAATCCGGAACATAATATTGTCCCAAAACTTTTCCCTTATCATTCTTTAATTCTACAACTAATGGGCTTATCATTATATACACAATCACGGGACCCAAATATTTAACTCCAAGACTCGCGCTATATCCCGCGGCCTTGTTGCTCAACTTCCGATTTGGGTAATAAACTAAATCTCCGACAGAAACCTCCGGGATTTCATGATTGATCCCGTGGTATTTTTCCTGTCGTTCACTCTCTTTTCTCATGTTCAGTTCAATTTTATGTCGAAGCTCCTCAAGACCTTGGATTCTCTTGGGCCACTCAGCATTTGTGAACTCGATATCAGTTAATTCCACTATTGTATGCTAATTGAAACTCGCCCAGGTGTTCATCCCAGAACTTCTGGTTCTTTGCAATATACGACCGCATCATAGGCTTGAGAGTCCTATTAATGCGTTCCACCGGGTTTGCTTGGGGATGAAACACCGCTATCGTGGAAAATCGTACACCAACTTCCTGAAGATAGTCTCTTAATAGTGAATTAGCGAATTCCGTGCCGTTATCAGTCACCAAAAACATCGGATAATCTCTTGAGGAAAATAGCCTTTTCAAACGGGCAAGAATAGTACTTCCTGTACTTCGACGTAGAGGATAAAACTCCGAAAACCGGGTATATAGGTCCTGAACGACAAGACCATAACTGTGGCCTCTCCCTGATTTAGGGAATGGTCCAGTAATATCTGCCGCTATCACCGCCCACGGCTTTATCGGTTGTCTCGTCTGGAGTGGAGCCTTAGTTGAGGATTGTTTATATTTCACTTGCTTGCAGATTTCACAAGCCTCGACAAAATCCTCAACATCCTTATACATGTCTGGCCAATAAAAATGCACCTTTAGGCGCTCGTACATCCGATCGTGTCCAATATGACCAGCATCAGGCTCCTCATGGTGTCTTTTTAAGACCTCCAGAACTTCATGGTCTTTCAAAACTTTTTTCCATTGGCCTTCATCGCCCACGATCTCGTTCAGGGGATCAGGTCTGTGATAATAAAGCTGATCATCTACAATTTTCCAATCCAGGAAGTTTTTAGGACGCCTTCTGACGTTTATAAACTTAATATCATACCAGCTTAGCGTTTGGATGTGTAGAAATCTTGCTTTATTAAGTCTTTCCTTGACTTCCATCCAGTCCTCTGGAGAATCATCTTCATATAAACGAGACAAGGCGTCCGGTCCTTCGTTTGTAGTTCCCCGCTGGTGTTTAATAGAGACTTGGTGTGAAAAAAGCTCGACTGCCCAACGAGCCAAGCGACCATTAGGATTTTCAAGTGAGTGCAGCCACATTAAAGAAGCGTAGTCTGTTACAACGGTAAACGGAGCACCTTCCAAGTAGCATTTCAGCTTCCTCACCGCCCAAACTACAGCTAGGCACTCCTTCTCTGTAGTTGTATAACGAGTCTCTGCACCACGAAGTTGACGGCTCAAACAAATGATTAGATGTTCTTTCGAAGTTCCTGGTTCCTTCTGGACTAAAAATGCGCCAAGGCCTGTGTCGCAGGCATCTGTGTATAGTATGTAAGGCCAACCATGTCTCGGAATAGCCAATGGTTGAGCTTCCACCAAGGCTCTTTTTAATTCTTGGAAAAATTTTTCTTCCTGATCACCCCACTTCCATTCATTATTAACACTTGTTAATTTATTTAAAGGCCCTTGTGCCTTAGAAACATTCTGCAGGTGACGGTGATACCAGTTTGTCAATCCCAGGAAACTTCTTAGTTGTTTTCTATTTGTTGGAGTTGGAAAGTTTACGATTGGAGCAATTCTCTCGGGGTCCGGGTATAATCCACTTTCGTTCACCACGAATCCTAAGAATTTTACTTCACTTCGACAAAATTAGCATTTCTCCGGGTTTATGAGAAGGCCAAAATCGCGAAATACTTCGAAAAGTAAAGCTAAGATCTGCAAATGCTCCTCAAATGTTTCACTTATGATGACCCAGTCGTCTAAGTATGCAAAGACTTGCTCTGCCCATTTTAGAGGAAGTCTTCTTTCTACTAGGAGTTTGCAAAATCTAGTTTTAACGATGTCCATGGCCTTCTGGAATGTACTCGGGGCACCCACAAGTCCATATGGCATTCTAAGCCATTCGAATTTACCTCTTCTTTCCACGGAGAAAGCAGTTAAAGCTATCGAGTTAGTTTCCATAAAAATCTGATGAAATGCTTCTTTTAGATCCATTGTTGTTATAACCAGAGCACCATGGAGATCACTTAATATCCGAAGCATATTCGGCAAAGGATGAGCTGGTGGAATCGTTACTTTATTCCCTGGTCTGTAGTCCACGCAAATCTCCATTTGTTATTCGGCTTGGAGACCATCAGAGGTGAGCAAGACCACACTCTGTAGCTGGGACGAATGAAATTTTTCTCCAGCAGCTCATCAATTTGTTTATTTAGCTCCTGATTAACAACTGGACTTCGACGATATAACTTGACTCGTACCGGCTGAGCTCCAGGTTTCACCACTATTTCATGTTCAATTATTCCAGTAGATCCGATGTTCAACACACCATCAAATTTTTTTATTTCAACTTCTAAAAATTTTCGAAGTTCTATATCTTGTGTCGAGGACATAACACACACATGTGTTTTGTCTTTGTTGCAAATTATCGGCTGGAACGGAAAGATGTCTGGAGCATCAGCAAATTTCCATGTACATGCTCTGCAATCTATTTGTACGCTAAATCTTCTCATGAAATCCACGCCTAACACCATTGAATAACTCAAGTCCGGTAAAATACTAAAATACTGTTCACCAGCTACAGACCCAATTTGTATAATAAAGGGGGCTCCACCCTTACTTTTGCAAGTCGAGTGATTAGCAAGAAGCACGCCCTTCTTGGTCTGTAAGATACTTGTAAATCACCACTAGCCAAGTTTCTGATGTCTTCATATATCTTGGCATTAATATAAGACAATTCACTACCCGTGTCTAATATTGCTTGTAATTTCACTCCAAAAACCCACACGGAAACCGGAATACGTGACGTTTCCGTTGGTGGTGACCCAGTACCGGGTTTAAAGATTCGTCGCGCCGCCAGATGATGTATGACTGATGCCGGAAGCTGTTTACCTCGCAATATCACTGGTAGGAATGCTGCTTGAGGCAATATTTTTGCTAATGTTTCCTGTATATGATTCTCGACTATTGGTTCAAGAAGAGGTTCAATCTCTTCTTCCAGCTCACTGTCAGAATTCTGTTCTGCATCTGAAGTAATACCTTTATCGATTTGTTCCAGAAGATTGAAATGACAAACGTCATCAAGATTAGGTTCCCATTCTGAAGACGAGGATAGCGGGTCTTCCAATATTCCGACTAAGTGAGTGATGTCATACGCGTCGAGAGTCTCATTTAAAATCTGTGAACTTGATTTTATCCGTTCGCCGGGTAATTTCTTTATTTCATTAGAAACAACTAATAAGCTTATAGGATCTGAAGAATCCTGCCCGCAGAGAGAGAATTGCGTAGACGCTATAATTCTTTCCGGGGATAATTCCGATTCATTCTTGGATCCACTCGTTGTTTTATTTAATTTGTTTCCCGCTTCTATATTTATTTCTGGCGAGCACGTGGGACACTCCGAGCTCCCATTATGCATTTTTTTGTTGTTGTTCAGCAGCGTTTCCAGAGACTACAGTCGCCACTGTTGCCTGTGATTGATGAGCTTTCTTAATTATAAATGGACAATTATCACGCAGATGACCCGTACTCCAGCAAACATTACACATCACTCTACGTGGACCCAGGCAAAACTCAAACGTGTGTCCAGGTTCACCGCAGTTAAAACACGGTTTTGGTCCGCGCAAATAGCGTGGATTGTATATTAATCCTCCATCTTGTGATTGGATTGTAGGAGCTGACTGGACCAAGTCTTGATGTTGCTGGCCTGAGTATTGTGTTGCATTTTGTGTAGCCGGAACTGCGACTTGCGATTGCTGAGTAACTGCATATTGACCAGAAACTTGAGTTGCTGGCATCTGTTGTCTCTGATAGTTCCTTTGGTTCTGAGCAGCTCTGTTTTGCTGGAAAGGAGTCGCTGAACGTCTCACCACTCCATATCTATTATCATATTCTGCTGCGTTGGGTAACCTCATAGAATTAAGTTCAGTTGACTCAGCTACATCTTCAACGAATTCTATTTCTTCCGCCGAAGTTTGTATCATGCCGAAGCGTGGTTTTTCAGCATTCTTTTTAATTGTAGCTGATTGTGACGAGATGTTAGCGTCTCTGACGCATCTAGAGGCTTCATGTAGAGTATTTAGAAGGTCCTCGTACGTGTGCACCTGGCGAGAAAATACCATCAACCTCAACTCATCCGTGAGATGGTTTCTTATGTAATTCACTTGTTCCTCGACTGGAGGAGGAACTTGCATCGCTTGATATTTCTGTTGTACGTTAAGTACAAACTCAGTGGCGTTCTCTTCCGGTTGCATCTTCATGTGGCTGATGTCCATAATTATCTGATGATCGTACCTCTCTATCACTTGTTGGATGCTCACGCTTGCACACACAGACTCAGGTGGAACGTGACACTTTTTCATGAACGTTGACGGTGTTCATCAATTTATAAGAAGTTATAACGTCAAAACATAAAAAAAAAAAAACAAAAAAAAAAATGTTTTAGTAAATAATAATAATAATAATAATAATACTTACTTTTTATTAGCTTAATAATGATGATGATGATGATAATGATGATGATAATGAGAAATATTTTTGTGATAGACATAGAAAAAAATGCAATATATACAGAATAGAAACTTTTTTGTTTATTCAAGTAATATGAATTAAAGATATAGTAACAATAATAATAATAATAATTAAAATTAAAATAATAATAATAATAATAATAATAATAATAATAATAATAATAATAATAATAATA